TAGATTATATTGGAAGATGGACAGCGGATGTAAGACAGACCCCAAATGCATCAAAAAAAATCTTCACGGCAAAGGTCTAGCTTAAAGTTAGTCACTTTCACATGTGACGTTAAAATCGAATCCTTACCTTCGGCATTCGTCAAACGAGTCCGGCTGCCTCTTCTGGCTCCGAAAGTTGTTTCCGTTAGTATCGAAAATTAATATATAAATCTCACACCAAATATGATTTAAAGTTGCCATAAAACCAAAACAAAATAAAAGTAAAATTCTTCTTCCGGGATTTTTAGCCTTCAATTTTGGTTCCTCCTTCTTGTTCATCTTCATCTTTTATTATCAAACATATATCTTCATAAAATATATTAGCTAAACATAAATAAATATGAGAAACAAATTATTATAAGGTCTTTATTTCAAAAACTAACTTCATAAGTAATATTAAATATATTAGTTTTAAGTTGAAAATCTATACTTTTAAGATAGTATCAAAGCCTAGGCTTAACCCAAGTATGGCCCAAAAAAGCATGATATCGATTCTAGTGTGAGATTCAGTTCAAATTTGTCTAGAAGAACTATCACATTAAATGAGTAAGTTAAGAATCTCACATCAAAAATTAAAATATGACGTAAATGATACATAAAAATACATTAGTCAATCCATTTATTATCAATTTGTTTTGAATTAAGAGCTCGTAATCTTAACAGTTTCTATTTTCATGGTTTGTACGGCACAAAGCCAAGTTGGTAAGATTTTCATCCACACTCGTTTGATGTTATGGTTCAATTTGTTAGTTTTCTTTTTCTTTAATATTATGTAATTGGGCTTATCAGAAACTGGGCCTAAAAGAGTGTTAATTATATCTTTTGCATTCTTCTACAAGTTCAATAGTAATCCTATTATCAATGCAAGATTGGTTAAGAAGACGAGAGCGACTCAAAACATGAAGATCCTCGGAGACAACGGTTGAGATCAAATTTGGAGTCTTTGGCCATTGAACTAAAGTCTAAACTGCGGCTGGATCGGATTTTGCAGCCATGTGTTGGAAAAGTCACGGTAATATATTGTGGAAAACCATTTAACAAATATATATATAAATTCTCTTAGAAAGTTCTTTTAAATTTATAACAAAAAAAAAAACAAAAAACACATGGCTGTGACTTCTTGGAGTACAAAAACGAGTTTAGTCCTTATTATTGTGTTTGAAAGTGCTGGTCCTGGTAATAGCAAATCCTAAATGTCATTGTTCATCTCTGCTTCCAAAGTCTTCTAGGCAGGTTCTTCTCGGATTGGCCATGATAAAAAAAAATAATAAAAATTATTTTGTAAATAATGTATAAAACGACCGGTACATATGCACGAGTTGGTTTTAAAAAGTTAACAATTTTAAAAACATTTGCGGATGCGTAATTATAAGCGTTTATTGTAGTGATTGGAAGAGACTGTGATTGATGTATAGACATTCATAATCAAATCAAAGCACAGATTAAATAACTCATCGTAGAAATTAACATAGATAACAAAAATAAACTATATATGATCATGAAATCATGCAATAAATTAATGTTAAGGATAACTTTTTCAAAAAAAAAGTTAAGCATCGCTATAATCGGCTGCACTTTTTGAGACAAATTTTTTGGTTTAAATTATTAAACGGCACTTTTTTTTTCCGAGTTATCAAACGCTCACATATAGACTAATTATTCAAGAATTTATAATAGCGTATATGATTAGTGAGCTATAAATTTATATGTGATTTATAATAGTAAGGGACTATAGTAAATTTTCAGTACTACCAGGCAACCAAAAAAAAAA